GAGCCGGGCCAGGAACCATCGCCTTTCGCTGCCCCCCAAATGCCCCCCCGAGGCCCGGGGGGGGGGGCAGGGCTGGGTTTGACTTGAACGCAATTAAGTCCATAAAGGGGAATTTAAACACCCTGCCACTCCCACATCCCAGTGCCCAGGCAGCCCCCACTCCTTCTGCGGAGGTTTGTCTGGCTCCGGTCACCAGTGAGAAACGTGTTTCCCCCGGTTCAGCTCCATTTGCAGCTTTGATTTCATTTCCCTCCTTTCTCGCTGCTCCTTAAGCACCGGCCTTCCTAGACACTGGGTCCCTGCCCCCTCCCTCCGCACTGGTCCAAGCAGAGATCCCACTGGCAAGAGAGTTTTGACCAAATCCAAAGCTCAGCCCTTAGACTAGGGCGGGATATTTCCCCATCCCCAGCAGGTTATGTAATGGCCATAAATATTCATAAGCGGAGACTGTGCAAAGATGTGTGCTCATTAAACAAGAGACCCCTGCAGTACTGCACAGGGCAAAACAGATCTCCTTGCCTTAAGGGGGGGTGAGGGCTTGGATTTGTATGATTTCCCTTTGCAGCACTCCCGCCTCCCCACTCTCCAGGGGAAGCAGACGTGACTGCTCCGTGAGACTTCACACGCAAGGAAACAGAAAGACACATGCTCATTTGTGCCGTCTCGCTGGGTAGCTGCTTAGACCTCACAGTCAGGCAACGCGGGGCGTTCTCAGCGGTAGCTGGTGAGCTTGTAAAGCTTTTCCTCGGCTTAGTGCCGGAGATCGCTCTCCCTTGCCGCAAGGGGCGCCAGAGGGTAAGGTTGCTACAGCGCGCGGAAGTCCAGATGAAACACAACGTTCTAAATGAGATCTCTTTAGAGTCACCAGGGAACTGGGAAATATAATAAAGGGATGATTCTCTATTGGGCAGAACTTTCATTTGCAGACAGACAGGAGAGAATTGTTTTTACATGGTTCACAGAATCCTAGGGCTGGAAGAGACCTCAAGAGGTCGAGTCCAGCCCCCTGCTAAAATCAGGACCAACCCCAACTCAAACATCCCAGCCAGGGCTTTGTCAAGCTGGGACTTGGCATTTTGAAGAGGGACCCGGTGGGTGAGTTAATATAGTAGACTGGGTGAACTTCTGTTGTTTAAAGAGAGTTTACACAGAGCTCGTCTTCAGGTCTAGGGAAGGCAACCAGAGTGCCACAGCTAATACTAGCTGGAACAGAGGAGTTAGCACATATTGCAGGAGACTATGTTGCTGCTGTCATAGGTGAAATGGTGTTTTTGTCTTTTATCCTTTTTCTGGGCGAGTTCTTGCAGGCACCTAGTGTTTGGTTTCACCCACACAGCTATTACCGAGGAATGTAGTGCCCTTGGAGGAGGTACCCCACATGTTGTGAGAGGCAGATACAGGACCCTGGTCCTAAATGTTGTTGATCATTGTAGCACTGGAGATGCATCTGCAGGTTTTGCATCTGTTCTTCTGGCAGGGTCTGGTGATCTGCAGGAAGTTGGCTTCTGATGACAAGTGTGGCAAGGTTGGGGTTTGTTTGAAGCCC